TCATTTGGTCGAATCGGTCGAATCCTTGGACGAATGGTTCTCGGTATCCTCAGTCTTTTCGCCGTCACTGTAGAATTTTGGCTGAAAACCAACGAAACGTCACGGGTTAACGAGGTCGAGCGAAACGAGCGAATGCAATCATACCCAAAAACAGAAAAATAAAATGCAAAAGATGACATTAACAGAGCACAGATGTAAAATCGGCATCGAACGTTAGAACCAAAACTCTCAAAAGCGAGCAAACTCGTGAAAATGGCGCGAACGTGTCACAAAACAAATATCTCTTTAAGCACGACACCCTGCATCGACTTACACAACCTTACTTTATGCTAAACGGTCGTCACTCTGGTTCCGAATCCGTTTTTGACAGCGTTATAGCTCGTAAAGCCCTAAAAACAAAGATCCGCTTTATCCGCCTCGCCTCGTTCGTCTTCGAGCTGGACCGGTCGGCCCTGGCGATACTTTGAGACGTACCTCGTCGTGTTTGTCCTCGACGGCCGGTCTCTCGTCCTCGTCGTCGCTGTCGTCGTCCTGCGAAGACTCCCCGCCGGAGCCCGTCGCGTCTCCGGCGCCTTTCGCGACGGCGGCGGCGGGCGGAAGGGGCCGAGGTGTCCGGGCCTTGTCCCTGGTGAGCCGGTCGTAGCAGTGCAGGCAGACGCGGAGCGGCTTCTCGCTCTGAGTGCGCAGCACGAAGCGCTTCGACGAACAAGGCCCGCAAACCACGGCTCCGCACTTGCGACAGTGATGCTGCGAAAGTTGGCTCGTTTCATACGGGCGTTCTTCTATCGTCGGGGGCTAGTTCTTTCGTTGAAATGAATTATTTTCAAAAGTTTTCCCGCCCCTTCGACACTTACCCGTCTGTTGAGAACGGTGAACTGCGTCTTCTTACAGTGCATGCAAATGGCCGCTTCGTTGTCCGGCACCCAAACCGCTGCGTGCTCTGAAGGCGGCTGCTTGCCACCTGCAAAATATTGTTTTCTCCCGACGTATAGACACGTACAAAATGATACTTGTTTCGTGAATGAGGGTCTGTAATCGTCCGAAAAAAAGACGAATCGTATGTATGTATTATAACGTGGCGTAACCGTAGATTTGCGTGTCAAAGTATATATTTTTTTAAATTTAGGTAACATTTACAACGGAATATATTTCCTTCACTGTGTTAACCACTCACTGGAAAAAAAAGAATACGAGATACAAACGTTAATTACAGAGATTTGCATGAATTAACTTTCGCTGGCTATAAATTTAAAATTTTAATAAACGTGTTATACGTCTTCGAGGATTTCAAGAGGTAACATGAAATATATTTCTTTCAATGAATGTTTCAATCATTTACGTGATTAAGAAACCTGTGGCAATTAAATTGATCCCTGTTCTCTATAGGGAGAAGAAGCTGTCATCTTTAAAAATAAATACTCTCTATTCATACAATTCATATTCATAAAACACACTCACTTATTAAGTGACTGTGACATTACTGGACTGAATTTGATTTCTAAAAATACTTTTCTGTTCCCATAACAGTCAACAAGTAAGTTGTATGCAATTGTAGTAATAAATAATACTAAAAGTGGTTAAGCTAGCTAATGCTGTCTCATAATACATCTAAACGTAAAAATTTAAAAAACATACTCTTCCTTAAAAGGTCCTCAATACATTTTTCTATGTGAGCCATCCATTCTTCTTTTTCTGTCGCAGTGGCAGCGTACACTGCAAATGACTTTGATGCTGTGCGTATTAACCACCCGTTGCGGTATTCTGTAATTGTGTTACAAATATATCCATAATAAGCTTGATCTGTTCTAATTGCACTCTTTTGTAGCTATGTGTCAAGTTGTATTTACTCTGCGATGATAAGTAATAAATGAGTACTGTATTTAAAATGCTATTTCTAAAATACCAACTCCAAACTTGTTTAATTTAAGTTTAAAATTAATTCAATAAAAAAAATAATTAACTGTTTTCTTTTAATGTGATAATTAAACTTAATGTATAGATGAAAACTTTGACATGAGAAGTCTTTGAATATACTACAATCTTTATAAACAATAAAAGACCTCTTTGGTACAATAAATTATTATTCAAACAAATTTCTATTATAAATATGTAGTATTTAAAACTGGAAATTTAGTCTTAGGTATTTATGTTATTATTGAGTTGACTCAGTGTCTAGTTCGACACTCATTGCCTCAATGTATAGTATTAGTGATAAAAATTTATATTTATGAATCATGTATGACTCACTCGAGCAAATGCGATAGTTATATTTGTCACTTCTTGTTAATTATGGAAATGCTAAAGCATGAATAAAAAATTTTCAACATTGTAATTACATGTTTAATAGATCCATGACAAAATAGAAAACTGTCACTTTAAGGCAGAACAGTTTTATAATGTTTAAATTTATGAAGTCTGGGCTAAGCATATTTAGATAATCATAGACAGAAAGAAACATTGTTCATGTCAAAATTCCTGAAGTCTAGTTGCAATACAGAAAAACATTTTTTCCTAACCAGTGAAGCCAGATAAAAAATGTATTTATCGCAGATTGTATTTAAAACATCAATTTGAGATTGTAAAACTTTAAGGAGAAAATAGTTTCAAGTACAAAAGCAATTAAAACTAACTAATAAAGTAGAAGTACAAAATTCTAATTTTAAATATACATTTATTTTTTTACTTAGGACTACTACAGAAATAAACCCTTCAATAATTTATTGTTGTGTGTTTTTAAATAAATGTTTGTCCGTATGGGGAAACCAGATTTGCAGCTTAGTATAGCTCAAGTTGTCCGTTTCCATCTCTTGACAAAAACTAAGCTCAACTTTGTGCATCTCTGAATACAATTATCAACATAAGTGTTGGATTTTGCCATATGGGAGTTTATACTTAGTCTGATTTCTGAATCTCACCCTTATATATATGGATAGGATTTTAGTTTTAAAGAATTTCCCAACAAAACATAGTTCAATCACAGCAAACATTTCATTCCTCACAATACAGTACTAAATTTTTTCAAATAAATTAGTGCATATTATTAATTCAGAACACAGAATCTTCAAAAAAATTAAATTAGTAATACATACGGCCTTCATCTTTAAGTGACTCCAGTTTTACTTCTTCCAATGGAATAACATGCTGTTTATTATATTTTTTTTTGTTTATCACAATATTTCCATACACTAGAATGTCATTGAATAAAAAGAACTGTCTGGCTTTAGGCTTTTTTCTGCACATTTTTGTCAAGACACCTTCACCAACCAAGACTCTTCCTTGCTCTGCTAAAGGCTGAAATATTTTCAATCAGATATATAATGGTGTAACTATGCATATATTAGGATAACATTTAAAATATTAGTTAAAGATATTATAAGTAGAAATCAACTTTTGTTTGGAAAAAAATATGCAACCCCAACTACATACAAAAATATACATAATTTAATAAAGTTCTTTGAGAGTACACATTATCACAATAGAGCAATTCTAGGATATTAAATTAATTCTTATAAACTGTTATCTTGAATCAATAAATAACAGTGCATGCGAAGCATTAAGTAGATAAAAATTCATATCTATAAGCAAACCCACCCAATCCTCCTACAAATTATTATCTTTCAGTTTGTCGGTTGATAAACTTCGAAAGTTAAACACATTCGAAAGTGGTTACTGTAGATTAAAACTACGTACCTGTCCCGAACTCCCGAAGCAGTTTTCCACCATAGCAATTCTCCTTGCATTAGCTTCACTATTAACTGAAAAAAGTAAACTTTTATAAAGTAAAACTACGGCTGAGTACCAAAGTTGACGTCAAATGAAAGTAGATGAACAAACAATGACAACTATTAATTTGAAGTAAATAAATCACCATTAAAAATATTAGAAGTAGTAAAAGAATATGCTTGAAAATCATTAACTAATTAAAGTCTATTTATTACCTAAACGATCCACCATTATAAAAAGTTTTTTACTTTACAATGAATTCGATAAGCACTTTACACCTACTGCAAATGGCAATAATGAATAAATGACAAATTTGACATTACCAAATTGATGACAGCACAACGTATCGAAAACAGGTGTCAATTAACATTGCTAAAAGGATTCATCATCACAAAGAAGAAAAAGTTTCTGTTCCATATCCTGTTATCATATAAAAAGTAAGATATGTATATTAATAGAGTTAATTTAAAATTTTATCAATATTATTACCTTAAATATTTTTTATAAATTGTTTATTTCTGTTTCTTTAGTCTATGGAACTAAACCATAAACACGACGTGATCATGTGAGATTCCTCTCCTTCTGTGATTTTTGACGTCTTGTGCCAGACAGTGGTCAGTTATTTTATCATTATTTGTTCAAAATTTTTATTAAAATAAGCGAACAAAATGGTTTGTAAATTGTGTGGCCCTAAATTGTCGCTATGTGGCTTGGTTTTAAGTGTTTGGGGTGTAATACAACTCGTAAGTAATAATCTTATTAAATTTTTTAATTAACTTTGATATTGTGTCTTCGATTAGCAGTTACTCAAATTTTCAGACTCTAATGGGCGTATTCTATCATATCAGAGCAGTCGCTCTTCTAGAAGATCTTCCACTTGAGGAAGGACATCACGACATTGATCACTTCATAGCTAATGTTGAATATGGATATACTACGGTATGTACTTAACTCACAACATAATAATAATCTAAATGAGGTTATATTCATAGCTAAATTCAGGATAAATGTATTACATTTTAAATACTTAAAAATGCAGTGGTTATTTTACTGAATCCTGTAAAAATATCCTTTATTTCAAAGGGCCAAATCATGTGTATTCAATATTGCATCAAGTGCTTAACAGTAAATGAATGTTTTATCTAATTAGAACTAAAAACAAATGTTGGGTTTTTGTAAGCATATTATTAAGTTCTTTATCAATTGTGCACTTTACCAAGTATTTACAAAAATATTTTTAACAGTTCAACAGACTTTAAATGACATGCAAATGTTTTAAACCAGTCCGTCCTATTTTTCTTGAAAGTGTTCTGCTTTGATCTCATAATGACTAATACGTTTTTCAGAATGCTCAAAACTGCTGGATTGCTGCTTTACTGTACTTAGTCACACTTGTTGTTTCTGGCCACCAATTCTGGATGAATAACCGCTCTTCAGTGAGCATGTAAATGTACTGTCGTACACCAGTCAAATAGTTTCCATTCCATTATATATCATATTTATGTCAGTGGCACTCAAAAATAACCCTCTGGCTGAACTTAATTAGCACATTCCCTGTGGTAAACAAAAATCTTCTAGAAAAGAGATTTTTCCTCGCAAATTAGTTACGTAAAACAGTATGTAGCACCTATGGTATAAAAGTAGGTCATTCAAATTATACCAATATTCTGAGGGAATGTGATAATAGCAGTTGTTTAACTAACATAGTATTATGGTTGGAGTTAATTTGGTGCAATGTCCATTTGTGGTTTTAAATATATTTATTTATTAAGCTTGGTCAGAATTCAATGGTGAAACTAACCAGTAATTAATGATTGTTAGAGAAAAAATGGAATATGCACATACTTGTAATTCTTCATAAGTTAAAGTATTAGTTTTTGAATAATGTCTATGAATTACTGTACATAAAATATCTATTTAATTGTAGGTAAAATTTAAATCACACTTTAGGCTTTCTTGAAATAAACGTTTTAATGTTGTTATTATGTTTCATTTATGAAAGTATATTTCTACATGTAATTAGAGGTCACACATAATCCTTAAACTCTTTGTCTTGATTGCAAAGTAAGCCTTGTGGCTCTTAATAAACACTTTAAAAATTAATTATACAATTTTTGCTGTTACAACATAGTGTAAATAAAATATATGCAGTCTATGTGTAATTTATATGTAACATAGTATGTCTATGATTGGCCACTATGCAAATGAATCAAATTTTCAAATTTCTTTCAAAAGGTGGCTTGACAGTACTAGGTACATAAGAAACTAATTAATGTTAAAATTAGGTTGATACAAAGACTAAATAATATTTGAAAATGAGTATGCTATTTAATTGTGGTGTTTGTTGTATGCTTTTAAGTATTTGGGCTGTAGTGCAACTGGTAAGTAAAAAATACTATATAAGAAAGCATATTCTTTGGCAGCCAAATAAAGTTAAAATTTATTCGAAGGCCACAGCCAAAAAGAATGTATATGTATATAATATGAAAAAGAAGTAATAATGAGTACAAACTACAAAGTATGAATGACTTTTACAGTTAGCTTGAGTAGTTAGTATCTTATATATTATATGCTTGTTGTTTAGTTTTAGTGAAAGGTGTTTCTAATATATTTGGTTTAAGGTTGTCATGGGAATTTTCTTTAAAATGGAGGTGGTTGCTTTTATTGAAGAGGCTGAGCCTGATCATCACGGCTATGAAGATTTTGAGGACTTTATGAAGCAAACAGAACAAAATTATAGCCTAGTAAGCGCGACCGAATAATATTAAAAGTCATATACATATTTGGATATTTAGAAATTAACTGCTACCAAAGACCTTTATTGCTTGTAAAGCTCATAATTACTGATTTAAAACGTTAATTTCAGATTGCTATGAACTGTTGGATAGGCGCAGTTATATACTTATTCATGATCGGAGTGTCCTATTTATGTATAGTCAAAGCGAGGGCCAGGGATAAAGCTGCTGCTGAGAATGCACAAGATGACGATGCATTTTGCAAAGATCTTGCAAAATCTAAGAAGTCCTAACTATTTTACGTACTTACAGTATTATTTTCAGTAAGCAATAAAGTTCTTTACCTCGATTATTTATTTGTGTAATTAACGTAACGATAATATTATTAGATATATAAAAATTATGTATCAGCAAGGAAGATGTAGTAAACGTGCCCGTGCAGGGAGAACCCTTGTGATTAGGAATATGGAAAATGAAAAATTTCGAATCTGTGAAATATCATATATTACAGTTCTTTACACAATTGTTAGTTTTATTTTTCTCAAATTATATTTTAACCTCTTCCATTTTCCGGTCAAACGTTACTGTGCCTATATTAACGCTTTTTATTTCGTCTTTGCTTGTGTGGGCGTTCTCCTAAAACAACATTTAAATTTAACATAATAAAAAATTTTAAAATACTATTTGGTTATTAATAAGAAATATACCTGATTCGTATCTGTATCTTCATCTTTACCTGGTGGATTGGGACATAGCCAGGGGTCAACAAGAATCTGTGGTATTTTTGAGCGAATTTTGAGGGGTGCCAAAATTTTTGTAATTAGCTTGCGGCATTCTGCGGAAACTTTTGGATCCCGAGGAAATGAGACTTTGTTTTGAACTTGCTGAAACATTGCTTTATTTTCAAGATACAAATACTTGAGAAGTAAAATGTGAGCTCTATTATTAGAACTTTTAAGAAAAGCCCTCTTAATATATTCCAAAAATATAAAAACGAGAATGTATAGTAGATGTAATCTTGACGCATATGATTAACTAATTGTAATGAAATTGTTAAAGTAAGTCTGATCATATTCTAATACGTGATTAAGTATATAAAACATTATTTGGTTCACCTTTAGAAGTTGGGTGTAGTTTGTATCATCAAAAGGTAGGCGGCCATAAACAATCGCATATAAAACGACCCCCATACTCCAAATATCAGAATCTTGGGGTCTGTAGGGAACGCCTTTTAGGATCTCGGGAGAGGCGTATGCGTAACTACCACAAAAGGTCTCGCTCAAGGCAAACACTCCATTTTTGGGTTTCATGTGACCTCTCGCGAACCCAAAATCTGACAGTTTGATGTTAAGGCCGTGGTCCATTAGGAGGTTTTCGCATTTTATGTCTCTATAAAATAATTATTTAATTTTTAACATAATCGGAAAGAACACAACACAACTATTGAAATAAAACAAGTACCGATGCACCACGCCTCGCTCGTGACAGTAGTCTACCGCTTCAACCAATTGGCGAAACCAACGTCGTCCCCTGGCTTCATCTATGTGTTGGTCTTTACGTATTATGTCTAATAAGCTTCCATTCTCCGCATATTCCATGACAATGTATACTCTGAAAAAGGAAAGTGTTTTAGTGTATTATCGGGCTAATGGGCACAGTTTACTTACTTAAAATCTATAATCGCTTTAAAATGTGCCTAGGTAAAAAAAAATTACAGAACCTATGCGTAGTTTCAATCGCTTGCAGGAAACGTATCAAGTTTTCATGTTTTAATCCTTTGACAACTTCAATCTCCCTCGGCAAGAACTTTTTCAAATAATCACCCGGCGCTTGAAATTTGCTTATTATTTTAATGGCAACCTGGCAGTTATGTCTGTCGCTGGTGGCCACCTGTAACAACATTATCGAACTCGAGGTAAGCATAATAATGATAAAAAACTTCAATTCGAATAATCTAGGAGCCAACTTAGAAATAAATGTGATGAATGATTCCCTGAAGGTAGTATGAAAGATTTTGATTCCATAACAAATGCTTTAAAATGAGGGCGTTACCTTAACAGTAGCATAGGAGCCAGATCCGATAGTTCGGCCGAGGATGTATCCGTGGGTTTCGAGAACGGTGAGCTTCCTTTCAGCTTTGGCCTCGACTCCGCTGTGCACTGTCGCAGTTGGCTCCGTGGATCTCTCTCCAAGAACATGATTGTCATCGGCTCTTATATCTGGCCCTGGCATATCACAGAAATATTTGTTTACTGTGTATAATTTTATTAAGTTACATTATAATTTATTAAGCCACATTTTATTTAATTTTCAAATTTTTCATCTCATGCTGTCATTTTGTGATGTGATGGATTATTGACGGTAATCGTTGTTTTTATAATGTCATGAAATAAAGAAAAGAGGCTCGATGCTATAAAATATATTAAATTCTTTCTTATTTTATATCAACCAACATAATATTTGGTAACATTCGCTACCTTTGACTTATTGAAATACAGTTCAGATTTAGCATAGCTTAATAAACAAAAAACAACCAAGTTTAAATTTTAACAGCGCATGGCAATAACGGCACAAACTGTAATTAAACGTCGTATAGGTCTCTATTCTCTAATTCCTATGTGCGAAATACACCGATGCATTACTAAAAGCTTCAAGTTGTTAAGAACTTGTAAGATTCACATCGCAACTACGACTATGAGCATTAATACATTGCATATTAATTAGTGCCGTGTCTTGGAAGTATTGTTATGTTTACGAGAAACTTAGGCCCTGTGTTGTCAGAAACCTTTAGATTGTTTTAATTATTTATAGCTAATTATATGCCACACCAGATGATTCCTATCCCTTAAGTTGGAATGGTGTATATCCGCAATGAGGAGTTATATCCTAGGTGTGCGACATATTACAGACTTGATTACTTTTCTACTCCAAGAACTAATAAAAGTTGACCAGCAAACCGAGAACTCGCGAGCGTCGTTTTTAATTGAAACACCGGACTGTACTGTATGAGTGATCAATGGCCAACCTGCGCTATTTCTTTTTAATAGACGATGTATGGGGATATTCAATTATTGTTTTCTTTTAGTAGAGAAAGGTTCTATATTTGTTGTGAAAGGTACCGGAGACTAAAGACTTTTCTTGAAGTTTGACATTTATAATGGAGAAAGCATAAAGTTAGGTCGAGTTATCACTGTAGAAGGAAGTTGAAGAAAGTTCTTCATTCATTTATTGCAGTGAGAAATATCTACTTGGTCACCGATCATTTTCTCTAGAAACTTCGATTAAATCAAATTTTCGCTTTTTGCACCATTCAGTAGGACAAGGCTTGGAGAATTATTGTGATCATAAGTCTATAGACGTACACTATTCCTTCTAGATCTTCCATTACTCAAAAGCTCACGCCATTGAAAGTTTTACAAAAAATATTTTAATTGAAATTGAATCTCTAAGCAGAGCTCCCGAGAGTAAATGGCCAAGCATTAAGAAACAATGGTAATTTTATTTGTACGGAATTCCTAGTAGACCAGTGCAGATAGCCTTTAAAATAAATAAAAAGTGAAAAAAAATACAGTAGGATGAAACCCATTAGAAAAGCAGGGGAATATGATCAAAATGAAAGGAAAAATAAATTACGGTCGATCTGAGGTCGGGAAGGGGTAGGGGGGCTAGTTTTAAGGGTAAAAAACGGTTTATCTCGATTTCCGGCAAAACTACAAGTCCTATCGAAGAAAGTTAAATGGCAAAGTTGGAGGTAATAAAAAGATCTAAAACTTTTGTATTTACACATTTTTCACATAACCTCAAAATTTATGTGAAAAATTCAAAAAACCAAGTTTTTGGTTTTTTTATTTTTGTCTTTAACAAAAATTTTTAATTTTAACGAAATTTGGTGAAAACTTACCTTTCTATGTCCCAAATACACTGTAATTTATTTGATTAAAAATATTTATTTGTTCACCTTATTTTGAATTAATATCGAAAAAACACCCTAATTTTCAATCGAAAATTCTGACGTCAAAATTTCAGCTTTTTTCAAAAAGTTGGTGTGCTTTCAGTTCGTTGAAATCTCTACTTTCCTATGATAAAAATATATATATATATATATTACCATAGTAAATCTTCTCAGAAAACGCAAAAAATCGTATGCAGTAACGTCATCCCCTTCCTTACTTCTCTATGAATCTTCTTTAAATACCGTAATTTATTTTTCCTTTAATTTTTATAATACTCCTCCTTTTCCAATAGGTTTCATCCTACTATTATTTTTTTAGGTTTTAAAAATTATCGGCACTGGTCTAAAGGTCGCTCCTGAAATGTCCAAATCTTATACCTCGTCTGCTCCATAAGTTCCATCAGTTTAACGAATAAACCAACGTTTTACCATTTCAATTTAACAGTGAATAATATATCGGTTACCATTCTATATTTATGAGTTTAATTCCGATTATTTGGAGAGCGCTTGCATTTTTAACTTTTTATTTTGCAGAAGTTGCGAAGCGTTATTTATTGCATGATGGCAAATTTGTTTTTGCGAAATTATAATTTACCAGCGATATCTGAACAGAATTTTCTTAATTTTCAGTCAAATTTTTTTGTACACCGTGTGTACATTTTCTGACATTGTTTTAAGTATTTAAATGTTTCACTTTTTAAATGCCACATTTCAGATTTAAATCTCGTTTGTAAATAAAATATCAGTGCAGCATATTCAGAAGAATATCGCTGACAGGACGAGTCTTTTCCTAATCGTGGTAATAGTGCCTCCATTCCAAATTTTCATATTAAGTAAATACAGGTGACATTAATGCCTAGAAGGTAAAAATTTTGCTTTTTATATTTCTCTCGAAAGACTGTGAAAATACCACCTAAGCCATTTTAGTTGGGTTACGTGTATATTACATTCCAGGTTAACTCAGGACAGAAGGCAGACGAGGGATGTTGTCGCCTTTTACAGTGTTTGTCTCGTATGAAGTAAACAAATTCCTTCACCCTCTTTACATTACAAACGTTTGAACAAAATTTAATTATTAATTCAAGTGATGCGTTTTTTTGTTTATACGTATGTACATTGTTAAGGTTGATTAAGTCCCTTTAATCTAACACACAAAATCATATCGGTAAAGTTACTTAAATTTAAATGGGAACTCCGGCGACTACTTAATAGACAGGCATTTTAATAAAACAAATAACGTTATCAGAATAAATTGGAACGTTTAAGCCATGTAATTAAACACAAACCTCAAATTAATAAAACGTTATGGTTATTGCCTGGCTGCAGCCCTATCTAACTAAA